TGCTCCACCCTGGCCACAGACACCATCTCATTAAGCCACCTGTTAAAACACGGGGCCGAAGAAGACCGCCACTGTAAAAGAATAAGTTTCTTTGCAGCCAGCATACCCATTGTAATTATCTGTTTTTGTGAAAAGGAAAAAGATTCGATTGATGCAAATGATCCAAGTATAGCCAATGTACCATCATGTGGTATTTTTTTCTTAAATTGGTTTGAAAACCACATAAAAATCTGGCTCCAAAAAGTGTTCAAAACAGGGCAATTGAACACTTTTCTAAGTAAATATATTTTGAAAGGTGGTATTGACATGAAATTCTCAGCAGATGTGAGTACCAATCCATCCAGTAGATGTCCATAAATTATGTGCTCTAATAAGAAACAGTACAGGGAAAGACTTTTGAACACACAATGAAATGGAGATGCAAAAAAGGCAAGTAAAATCATGACACTGGAGGTCAGGACACAGATGAGTGAAAAGAATTACCAGAAGAGTTATCCAGTTTCCAAGAAAGTAGTGCACCTGTGGAGCACTACAGAAAGATCTGGAATCAGCATGGAAAATTGTTTCAAAGACAATAAGTAATGAGGTCAACCACTGTGACCTTTATGCACCATGCAAGATTCCATTGCTGAAGAAAAAGCAAGTTGAAGAGCGTTTAAACTTTGCTAAACAACATTTAGACAAGCCTGTGAAATACTCTGAGAATATAATCTGGTCAGATGAGACCAGATGAGATGCTACAATACACACCATGTTTGGAGGTCAAAAGGCACTCCATATCACTCCACAAACACCAGACCAAGTGGAATCTGGAGGTTAGAATATGATGGTGTAGGGATGTTTTTCAGCAAGCGGGACTGACAGGCTTCGTATAATTGAAAGAAGGATGAAATTAAAAATATACAAAGACTATCTTGATAAAAAATTTGCTCACTTTCAGCTTTTTTTAGAGAAAGAAAATAAAGCCAAAGTCACTTGACCTGAATCCAGCTGAAAGTCTGTGGAAAGAGCTAAAGCTACATTTTTCAATGCCTCTGCAAAATGGGTAAAAAACATAAACAACTGTGGGATACTGTTTGTCCATGATTTGAACCGGGGGAACAAATTGTGGCAGGATGAGCGCGATATCATTTGTATCCCACTGTAACTTTACTGTATAAAGAGCTAACAGCTCCAAAACGTCAGGAGTAGTTAGTTATTACAAGAAGTGCTTGTGAACTAAAAATCAAGAATGTGGGATACTGTTTGTCCGTGATTTGGAGAGCCCATGCTCCCGACGCAGGGAAACCCAATTCTGCAGGGGAGACCTACCTTGGCACTTGTGCAGGTGAAGCCAGAGGGAAGATATGCTTCACCATATTTTCTAGTCTTTGGCTTGGAAGAAGTTGGTTCGGAAACATATTTGGCGATACTTCATCTCCTGCTTTGCGTTTGTGTGTGTCCATGATGCTAGCAGTGTCCAAGCGTTCTTTTTTTTTTTTCATACAGCGCCCCCCTCTCTCAATGGCTCTGCGGGGCGGGCCCCACACTTTGGGAACCTCTGCCTTAGAGTTAAAGTGGGGTTTGGCTGGTGGGAGCACCCTAAGATTGGACATATAGGGAATATAATTACATAGAAATAAGTGATCATGATCATTTGTACTGTCAGCTCCAGCAGATTTAACCTGGTGTACAGGCTGTGATCAGCTAAACTGTGCTGATGCTGCTCTGTGTTTCTTTGCCCTTTGTGAACTTAGCCAGCTCAACTCAATAAGATCTAACTCAGTGTTAGCCTCGTGATTTATTATCTTTCCAGGATATACCAGGCCTTTCGCCCTGTACAAGTTCATGTGTCAGACATGATTTTTCCCTGGGAAATACAGTAATGTACATTTTCATTTAAAGCACTAAAAAGGTTCGTTTGTTGATATTTTTGAGCTGTTGAAATGATCTGCCAACTCACCAAATATCACCAAACACCATTTTTCTTTATCGTTATATTTTCTAACTAATTTTGTAGTTTACAACTCCATGAGTTTATAATTAATGTAATAATATCAAATGGACATTTTAGAAGTGGATCTTTAGACCAGACTGTTTAACGCAATCTTAGAGAGTGCGAGTTTGGCCACTTGGTGGTGAAACAGATAAAATACAAATGAGATAGAGAAGAAGCAAAACACAGTTGTTGAGGCCTGACTTTTGCAAGACAAAACACTCATAGTAGGGTAGGTCTGATCAATAAATACAATAAAGACATAATTAATTACCAAATAAACACAACTGCCACTTAACACAGTGTGTTGTTATGTTAAGTTTTCAAGTTAATGATTTGTTTTTAGTTTTCAGGGGACAATGTTAAATACTGTGGTTTAAGGTAGAGATGGTCTGATACCACATTTTTATGTCCGATACTGATATCATAAATTTGGATATCTGTCGATACCGATATGAAGCCGATATAGTTTATTTTTTAATCAATAAAACTGTTTTTAATATTTTGCTGCGTATAGTATAAGTTCATACTTAAGCTTTAAAAAACAAAACACTGAAGCTATTCTGTTATATCTGTATGCAAAAACACACTGCACCCAAAATATTTCATAGTTCAGCAATACTGATCAATCTAGTAAACTTAAACCTGCTCCATCCTCTCTATTCTGGTATTTTAAAGAGTACTTAGCAGAACTATTAAACAACCTAACTGATAGCGTTGCCAACTCCCTGCAAAAAAAAATAGGGAACCACCCCCCACCCTCCGCCTCGTGATGACATAATCAACTTTAATTTAATGTACCTGTAAAAAAGAAATGCACAGAAATCAATTATTTTTCTACAATATTTAAATAGATTCAACATCTTTGCAGACAATAGAATTGCAGACTGCACAGATGGTACCTTCCCAAAGGAAAAAGTACTATAGCTTACTAGGGTATGTTAGACTTAATAGTTACTATATACAATAGACTTCTATACATTTTACATCAGATTAAAACTTTGGGTGTAATATTCAGATAATACTCCTCCACATACTCCTCCGACAAGCTAAGGTTATGAGCTGAGTTACGCCATGTCGCAAGTTTTGTGAGGTGCTTTTGTGATATTTAATAGATCGGATTACAGTTCTTTATTTCCCTCCGATATACGATGTAGTAATTTAGGTCAGTATCGATACTGATACCGATACGCAATATCGGATCGGTCCATCCCTAGTTTAGGGTATGTAATGTACCTCTTACCATAAATGGCCAAATCTAATCTCATAATAAAACTTTTTTTAACTTAAGAAATTGATTTGATAAAGGTTCATTGTGTCATAATATTTATACAGACCAAATGCTGACATCCCCTGGCCATCAGTTACTATTAAATCTAAGTGGAGGGAAGAACGTAAGCAAGCAAGAAATTTATTAATATATCATTTTCGGAACAGCTCCCAGCTAAAAACAAAGTGATGTACATTTGATATGCCAAAAACGATACAATGAATAAAGATAAGCAAGAAGTCACATGTAAAATGATGGTTAGAATTAATTTTAAAATAATAAAATCAGCACAAATAGCAAAAATAAAATAGTATAAAATGATAATAAGAACTGCATTCAAGACAATAAAATCAGCACATTAGATTACACTAAAACAACAAAATCAGGGTCATACTGTGTCATACGCCAACAAGTAAAAATTGGTTTTAAGACGTGTTTTAAAAGAGCACAATGAAGGGGCCTCTCTAATGTGCTGGGGCAGATTGCTCCAGAGATTAGGAGACCCAGGGGGTGATTAAGGACGAAGAAGCTCAGAGAGGTAAGGTGGGGCAAGACTGTTTAAACATTTAAAAAGAAATATTAGAATTTTACAATGAACTCTAAGATGTACAGGCAGCCAATGGAGTGAAGCGAAGATGGGTGCTCTCTTTTGCGAGTTCTGTTAAAAGTAGTGCAACAGGCTTTGAACCACCTGCAGATGAGAGAGAAGAAACTAACTCCAAAATACAGTGCAATAGAGTAATCTAAACGAGATGAAATAAAAGCATGGATTACTGTTTCAAAATCCGGTCTGGATAAAGCGCCTTAAATGATAAAAACTGTACTTGACAGTAGCCCTAATTTGAGTGTTCAATTTAAAATTATTGTCCATCTTAAAACCCAGGTTAGTAACAACAGGTTTATAATACTCTGCCAGGGGTCCCAAATCAATAGTGGTCCGATAGAACCAAACGTAGTCAAATCTATAAGAGTGGTGACTTAGTGCTATGGAGGTTTTTAAAACCTGTTTGGGACACATCTAAGATACCATTCTCATTTTTAAAACAATCCATCAATTGGCAATAAACAATTTTCTCTAAGATTTGGAGACAGGATCACTTGGAGAACCACTGGTGGCCGACCACATTTACATGATCTGCGCAACTTTGTTTATTATATTCATTGTTTTCATGAATGGCCAAATGGTCTGTTGCAATGAATTATGGGATGCCTTTTTCTCCTCCCTTTTTATAAAGGATGCTCCAGTGCTAACGGAAGCAACAAAGGAAGCACCGAAGCACCTTTCCTTAGTATTTGGATAATCGGAGCAGCGTTTATAATGACCGCCATAGTTCCTAACTGAGAGACTAAGTAAAATGAACTATTAGAACACACCCCTATTTCTGACTTTAAACAATGGGTCTGAAGCTGTGTTTTTCTTTACAGAATTTGAGGCTTAATAACAAGTCAAAGAAGCAACTAACTTAATCTCGGTATAAATGATAATAGTACGGTTCTCTGTGAGCATAATCAGATAGATTTGCAGTCACAGAACCTTAATTAAGATTAAAATCACAAATCCAATGACAAACAGGACGGTGGCGGCAATGTTAAGCTCACGGGCAGTGAGCCCATGACGTCGTGCACCCTCCAGATCTCCGGCCACCTTCCGGTCTCTGGCCTAGAAGGACAGAAACATATAGACTGTAATAGTGTAATCATCTTTATCCCAATGTAAATTGAAACTGAAAATGTTAAGCATAGCCTAAATTTCATTTTCTGGAAAAGTTACGCTTCCTGTTTTTAGTAAACACAAGCAATTATAATAATAATCCCAGTTGCCCGTTTTTTGTTTTTTTGTGCCCATATAATTTCCTTGTTACTATCAGTGTAGGAAATAATGTAAACTGTATAACATATTTAAGATATTTCTTTCATCAAATCATTTATCTCTATTTTTATCTTTATTGTGCTGTGTACATTGTTGTGCTTCAGCCCAAACTGTTCTTATGACTCTTGCAATGGTCTTAGTTAGGACTGAGTTTTCCTTGGAAAGTATTAGAACACACTTTTCCATTGATTTAGTCAGTTTTTTGCACTTCAGTTTTGGTGTTTGTTGTGTTAGATGCCATGATCATGTAGCTTGATTTATATGGTAAATCAATGGATTTTAAGATATGGTAGGCAGGCAGGTATATATTCGCATACAAACACACCTTGATAGAATAAATGAGAGCTGCAAGTCCAAGACAACAACAAGGGTGTGAGTAGAGAAAGCAGAGGAGGGACCAGATAAAATGGTCCTTTGGAGGCTCAGTGACGATGTTCACACTGGTGTGCTGAACCAATACAGATCCTCCAGGCTGTCCAGAGGGCCCATCATAGGTCCTCGCCTGCATTGGAACATAAGCTGGAGGTTTCATTGCTCTCACTGGTCTGAGCTCAGCTGCAGTTTGGAGAGAGGAAAGATGTTGAAAAGAGTTACTGACATTGATCATTTCATTTTTGAAGTCTTTGGGCAGTGAGGGAGTTAAAGCAGTTGTCTCTGTTAGAAACTGAACAGTAACAGCTGTGTCTTTGGGGTCCAGGGGTCCAACTTTCCAAAAAGGTTGCTATGTCCTCTCACCTGATTTTTTTTTTTTTAATCTTTGAATTGTGAAATCTGAATTCAATGAATAAATTGATAAATATAAATAAATAATGTAAATGATATGAATATGAAACATGTTTTGGGACAGAACACACAATTTTCTGAGGATTCTGCACTCACAGTCGGTGATACAAACTAAGTTAGCATGCAGTGACATCATAAATTTGCTTACGCACAGTGATAAAATCTCTCTTCTGCTTTTTACATGAAGCCATTCTGCAGGGGAGGTAGGTCTCCCCTGCAGAATGGTCTGACTTAGTGGATGAATCTGCTGAGTGTCAGTGGGCTTGAGCACATAAACATCACCTATTGCCCTTCCCCCAATTCTGAAGCCTACATTTACTATCTTGATTGCTTTTCTGTAAGTGAGCACAGAACAAATGCAGATTACTTCTTCTGAAAACTGTACTACCCTCACCAATACTGCACTACCAATTACACCAATTACAACCAAAGACAAACATAAAGATTCTTATGTCACAACTTCAATATATGGCAGAGAAACTTCAAGAAACAGTCTTTCACAAGATTCCTCCATTGTGCAACAGCCTCATCATGAAAACAGACAGCATTGCTACACACACACAGCTACACAGACACAAAATGAAATGGAAATTAAAAAGTTTTCCTACTTTGAAGTTCATCGTGCCTCTCCTCAGACTCTACCAAAACAACTGAATCTTCAGTTCCAGTATCACGAAACATGTCGGTCATTGCCCTCAGCTGTCTGTAATTATGTGAGGTCCGTACTCAAATTCCATTAACAGCCAAGTTCCCAGTATACAGGAGTTGAAAGCAGACGTTGGTGGTTAGTTTCACATTTGTGCTGTGCTGTGCTTGGTTCAGCTATTTGCGTCATTCACATAATCAAAAGAAGGAAGTTTGATAAAAAATAAATATTGAACGCTTTACCAATTTTCTAAGTAAATATATTTTGAACGGTGGTATTGACATCAAATTCTCACCAGATGTAGGCAACTATCCAGCCAGTAGATGTCCATAAGTTTTATGTTATAATGAAAAACAGTATAGTGAAAAAATCTGAGCCTATGAGAAACTGGAGATGCAAAAAAGGCAAGCAAAATCAAGCCACTGGAGGTCAGGACACAGAGGAGTGAAAAGAAATATCAGAACAGTTTAAGAACTTTTAAGCTTTGCTGAACAAGATATAGACAAATCTTTGAAATACTCTGAGAATATAATCTGGTCAGATGAGACCAGATGAGATGTGTTGTGGAACTTTTCCATTTAATAAGGCCTGCAGACAAGCGGTGAGCGGTAGCTAACATTCTTTAATCAAAACAAGAACAGGTGAGGGAATGCATCATCGCGGGGCAAATGATCAGCAGAGTCCCACCCGGAGCCTAGTATGGCTTTCTGTTACATACCACTTACAGGAACAAAAAGCAGTACACAGCTGTTTCACACCTTTGGTTTTTTCCCCCCAAAGAAAGTTTCACACTCCCTTGCTTACAGTGGAGAAAGAGACAAAAGACCTCGTAACCAGTTTCCCTCATTCTCCTTCTTATCTTGATAATCCCACAAGAGATGCTCAAGGGTCTCATCTTCATCACAATTTACCAGAAGACGCCCGAGAGATGAGCCACACCACATCCCTAATATTCTCAGCAATGATCTTATCTTGAATATTTTTAACTATCAATAAATTTTCTTCCATTTCTGCATGTCTATATTGAATTATACCTTCATTTTTAATATCATTAATTGTATTATACTTTTCCTTTGTACTAATCTTCAAAATATCGAGATTATGTTGGCCTTGGCTCATTAAAGTCCTTGTCTTTAAATTAACTTTGTCTGTGTGTGTTTCAGGTACTGCACTCTCAAAGACTGAATGAACCAGCATTGCAGTCATGGGCAGGCACGTGCAGAGGGGGGGGGGGAAGGGGCTTGAGCACCCGCCCCTTTTTCTGATGGGTGCCCAAAGTGCCCTTTTGTTGAGGCAATTGGTTTTTTTTAATTTTTAATTATTTTTTATGTGTGTGTGCGTGCGGAGTCCTGTCTGTGCCCCTCAACAATAATATTTAACTATTAATCACAGTTTTGCTAAATAAAAGGATCTGGCTTGCATCAGTCACATGATCACATTTAACCAATGATCGCCCTTGACGGCAGAACGCGCTGGTTACGAGCCGGGAACGAGCTCACAAAGAGCACGCGCATTTTTTAGCGGTCCGGAGCTGTAGGAGAAACACAAGTTAACTCAGAGACACAGACTGATGCGACAAAACCAGTAAGTAGGTGTACAGCGTACACTGTAGTGTGTAGCACCCAGGAGTATTAGCTTATTACGTACACGTTGGTAAGCTGTCTTGTTGCATACTCTACAGTTTAAAAATGTAATAAGCTTTCTCCCTGCACAGAGTGGATAGTGAAACAAATGGAATCATCATAAATACATTATTTCATATTTATTACTTTTTTCCCCTCATTGCTTTATTATTGTAGCTCTAGTAATAAATAATAAGGGAAGGATTCTGGATCAGCACCATGATGGAAACTTGTGCCCACAGTATATACAGTATTCTGAAGAAGGTCTAAAATGTCACTGTGTGTGCATGTGTGTGTTTTATGTATATGGATTTTTAAATTATTACTCATGATATATCATTGTCCAGACATGGCTGGTAAGGACATGAGGAGGAAACAGTAGGAGCTGTGTGAGGCTACTAAAGGTAGTGGATCCCTCAGCAGCTGGATTACAAAGAGCACAGGTAACATTAACACATGTACCAGTTGTTGGAGAGCTATTCCAGTATAAACAAAAATAATAAGCACAACTGAAATGTTTTGCTTCTATAACATTTTTCTGTCATCATTTTATTATAGATTAAGTGTAAGAGTTGTTGAGTGTGGATAATTAAATAATAGTTTATTGCAATAGCAAGTTGTGCCTTGTTCTCAGATGGACAGCAAGTGGAGAGTGATATATGAAATGATGGGATGGAAGGAAGAAGAGAAGCAAAGAGTGATTCACAGTCTAGTTTATTTCTCAGTTTTTTGTTGCCTTATGGTTCCAAGCTGTCACCAATCTTTGCATTTTGTTATTATCTCATGACACTTGTTTAATCAGCTACCATCTCTCCTATGGACTTTTTAATGTCTACAGTCTCAGATCAGCACAGCCCCGCCCTCCAGCACTATCAGCAGAAGGAGCAGCAGCAACACCTTAACAGCAACATTGTACCCATCAGGTAAAACATAGGCTACGTTTGCTTTGCCTTGTTGCCCATATTCGATTCTTGATGAATGTGTGTTGTTGTTATTCAGCCTGGCTCAATGTGCCCCTTTTTAGCTTTTGAGCACTCGCCCCTTTAAACGTCTCTGCATGGCCCTGGTCATGGGTCATTGTGAGCATCACATGGAAGGTTGAAGCCGCCCACTGCAGCTGTATAGCCGGAGTCGTGGAGACCTGCACCCATGTCACTGCTCTTCTGTTTAAAGTGGAAGCAACAGTGCGGATCTGTGGCACAAGGACTGTTACAGATGAGCCTGCATACTGGGTTTTGCCTGGTAATATGACCAAGATACAGCCAGAGGTTGGCCATAAGATAGACTTCTCTTCTTCAGCTGCCCAAAAAAAGGCTCTCAATCAAAACATAAACAGACCATCCGTATTGAAAGGTAAAAGGAGCCGTCCTCAAAAAAGAAAAATCCCACCTGCTACTGTGGAGGAGTTGTCACTGCTATTGGATACTTTGCTGGAACACAGTAAAGCTGTGGGTTGTGGGAATGACCCATAATGTTTTATCTAGGGGTCTGGATTTATGCATGAAGTGCACTGCCATGTAAATAATTTGCATTTACTGAACATGTACTGACTGAGTACCACTGTTCAAAAGATGAATGAAGAAACAAACTGATTTTTGCCCTTTTTTTAAATTAAAACCACTATATAGAACATAACATCAGTAACAATGTAGAATCCATGTCATTTATAGTTTACAAATGACAAAATGTTTACATAAAAATCATGACAGCGTTTACATGATATCACCCACTACTAACATTACTTAATTTACTGTATCGTTTTAAAAATTACATTAATTATACAGCACAAGACTTATAATATATATTATATATTAATATTTAATATTAATATTATATATCAATATTTAACAAGAACAAGTTTCATTTTCCCTGGTTTTACTACCACACCGTTCACCAAAATGCAGCAAACCTTCACCATTTTTATCCAGAAGGGTCACCTCTTCACCCTCACATGGAAGAAGTAATCTGATTGGCATCGTGGTATGTTTGAAGCAGGGATTTCGGAGTGCCCCTTGCTGGAACCCAGTCACGATGTGTTTCATCAATTGCTATGACCTCAGAGTGCATCGAAAATAAAACTAATAGGCTATATGAACATATTTAGAACTTACCGGAATGAAAATGTCTGGAGCACCAACTGATATTTGGAGATGGAAGAGAACTGGATACCAGCTCGTCTCACAGCTGCTATCCAGACTAGTGATGGGAATTCCGGCTCATTTCAGCTCAGCTCCGGCTCTTTCAGCTCCGAAGCAGCTCTTCAGGTTGATTTGTTGCTTTAAATAATGTATTGTTAACAACAATATAAAATGATGCACAAAATGAACTACTACTATAAAAAATGTGCTTTTTATTTATAAATGTTTATCATATAAATATTTTTTTATTTATTCACAGCACACAAAATGTAAAAAATATATATATAAAGTACAAAAAACAACTATTTGCAATTACATTTTCAGCTTTTTTCCTTTTAAACCAATTCAAAATAAAACAACACAAAACACTGCGAACCACAACACAATAAAATATCGATTAAATTTATGCAAAACAAAAAGAAAAAGATGAACAACCAGATCTTTAATTAAAGGGAAGGTTGGCATTAAGAAATACCAAGTGCCTTAGCTTTGAGGAGCTGATCCAGTTTCTTCTGTCATTAATTATCTGTCTGAGATTCTCTCAGAGGGGACTGATGTTGCCACAATGCACAGTCTCCGTGTCAACACCTGGGTAAGACCTGGATAAATTGAAGCCTTTGTCAGTGGATCTGCACTTCTCTGGCAGGGGCTCATCAATGTAGGATCTTACTTCCAGTATTGCATCTGCTGAGGGATTCCTTCTAGTAGTGTTTCTAGTTGCTCGTTCTTCAAAGAACACTATTAAGCATTAGTTATTCATCTGTTAAGCATTAGTTAATGGTTACTTAATTATCTCTACAGCATCTACAAAGTATTTCTCATAATCAGTTAATAGTTTACAAGCACTGCTTTAAACACTTTATTCATGATGAATAAGCTAATGTATAACACTCCTTATTAATTATGTTTTCATGTTCTAAAACTCATTGATTAATCATTTATAAACACTACTCTGCATCAGTTACAAACCTGTCATTTCAGGATGTTCAATGGTATACAAAATCAAATCAAATCAAATCAAATCACTTTTATTGTCACATCACATGTGCAGGCACA